ACAAACAGCATGCTACTGAAATTTAAACAATATGTTGAAAAAGAAGATCTAGTATGCTATAAATTAGTGAACTGCACCTCAGCAATTGCTGATGTACCTCCTCTTTAAGAAGTTTGTAAACTTTTCAGTGTAATAGTATCAGATAGCTTCCATATCTCAGTCACGAAATTAATCCTGCAAGGATTATGAGATTTAAGTGAAAGTTCGTACTTATTCATTCCTATAATCAAATAACTGACAGCTTTAATAGTGAGCTAACCAAACTGGCAGCAGATGAGAAGCAGCTCAGGAGCTTAAGCTTGCATTCAGTGAGAAGTCTGACAGAAGGAAAAAGGAAAATAATTTTACTGTGTATCCATCATGTAGGAGGAGGGTTTCATCTTGGTAGACAGAGGATATAAGAAGAGAAACCTCAAAGTGCTCAACAATGTTCCCTAAATGTCAGAGATCTCACCCAGGGAACCTCCATTGTATTTTGAAAATAGCAAGAGTTTGTAGTCTAACTTGTCTATGACGTCTCACCATGGTAAAGCTAAAAATTTGAGCAAGGTTTTTGGAGCTTGCACAGGAGTACCTGTGCTTGAAGGTTTGTGGTCACTGCATGGAAGGGGGGTGAAAGGCCTGCCTACATGAATGGCAAGGTTTCTATTGCTACAAAATCAGTCAGGAACAGCTGTCTTTACAGCATCCTTCATAGAAGCCAAACCAGTGTAAAATAGCACAGTAAAAATAATGTGCCAACATATATATTTAATATATTGAGGTACAAGGTCACTTGTAGGTTTTTTTCTAAAAAGCATAAAGGATGAAGAGGCAGACTGAGACTTTTCCAGCTCGAGTTAAAATTGAGATATCAAAGTTTCTGCATTTGTAAAGTAGTCTCACATTGATAAGATTCAGAAACTGAACAGCAGAAGCATATCCTCCCCTAACCTAAATATGCCATTTCGATAGCGAATGACCCACAGACACCATTCACAGGACAGATGGGGAAAAGATACATAAATGACTGATTGATGTAATGGGCAAACCTCAAGTGCTTATTCCTAATACAGATTTTGGAATATAATTGCTGTCTTCACCTACCTAAAACAGTCAGACTCTTTGGGAGGTACACAATAAAGGATGTGAGGCAAAAAAAAAAAAAAATAACAAGAAACAATATATTTCAAATAGAAATAAGTGAACATTTATTCACAGTGAGAGTGGCCAAGCACTGGAAGAAGTGCAGTGTGAGGCTGTGGGATCTCTGTCTCTGGAGGTATTCAAAACTCAACAGGACAAGGACCTGAGAGACTTATTCTGACTCTGAAACTGGCACTGCTTTGAGCAGGAAGTTGCAGAGATGAGCCCTGAAGGTGCCTTGCAGCCGAAATTCTGATGTTCTGGTCAGTTACATGTCAAGGGAAGCAAAAAGTCATCCTCAAATTCCATACACAAAATAGCCCCACTCAGGAGCAGCCATAACCCAGTCTAAGTCACCAACTGATTCATGATATCCTGCACAGTTTCCTTCAGTAAACCCTGATGTAGCATTTGTTACAGACCAAACCTTCTAGGAAGAAAAAAAAAATGTTACTTAGGAAATCTTAACTGTCTTACAGTTTTGTTGGTTTTTTTTTATTAAAGATCCATCTTAGAGAAGAAGAAATGATGATTTCCCCTGTTCAAAGAAGAAGACAGCTGACTTTCCATAACTTGGATGGCATGAACTACTATTCAGAAGAAAAGTCAGAGATATTCTGTATGCATGAATGAGTGTCTTCACAAGGCATAAGAATATAGTGTTAGCCTAATGAGTGTCAGCAGGCACAGCTCCACCAGCCACGATAGGGATATCTCATTCACCAAGAGCTGATTTTGGCCTATAGGTTTTAATGGCTCCTTGAGGAGCTGCTGTGGTTGATAGTCCTGACTTCCAAATCCTGAAAGCCTCTTCTTTATGGATGATCAGGATGTACCTAGCACTTCTTATTTCTCTTTGCTTTCAGCTGAAAGGAAAATGCTCTGTGCACCTGCTGAAACACCAAGATATGTGCTGTGACCTGGACATGTCCACATACGGAGTACAGAATTTCTAAGTTTATAGCAATCAGCAATAAAAACTCAAATATGCCTATACTGAAATTAAAGTCTCTGCATTATTTTTCATTATCTTCACATTCTTATCTCAGCTTCACATGAAACAGAAAGACCTCTGTAACACAAGTATGAAAAGGAAAGGAACAACACAGGTTCCTTTTTGTTTGATATTGTGGTTAGGGGAGATGATGGGCTGGATTTTTTTGAGAGGGGCGTTGCAAGAACCCTGGCAAACATTGAAATGCTTAAAAATCCTGTATTCCACATGTTATTCACTGTTCCAATAACTAGAATGCTCTCCTATGGCAAGTCACTGCATTCCTCTGGGTCTCCCCTCACCTCCCATAAGGATTCTATCAGTCAGAAGGGATAACCACATTCCTGATGATCACATCATGCATGTAACTTGCTGTAAACATCACCTTTTAGCCCTATTGAATGATTTGTTCAGCTATTAATTATTCAGCAGATATTCTTTGCTCTCTCAAAGGATATTCCTTTTCTACAGAGGGTTGTTAGTGTCATTTTTGGTTAAAGTTTGATATTATGAAATTGCATCAAAAACATTAGTTTCCTCCAAAAACTTTATCAATTTTTTTATAACTTTATAATTTGTTAGGACTAGTTTGATTTCAAAGGCTTAAAATAAAAATTGAACATGGTGGGATCACAGAATAATTTAGGTTAGAACATCACCTAATCCAATTCCCTGCTCAAAGCAGTGATACCTTTGAAATAAGATTGAGTCATTTAATCCCATGTCCAGTCAAAGTCTGGGAACCTCCAGGGATTGAGTAGTGTTCTTAAATTTAACCACTGTCACTGTGAATAATGCTGTTCCATACATCTGGTCAGAATTTAACTTACTGCAGTTTGCAACTGCTGTCACTCATTTTATTTTGCAGCTGCAAGAAGATTTCAACTCTGTCTTCTCCATAACCTGCATTTAGATGGCTGGGGATAGCAATTAGTTTCCCACAACCCTGAGGCCTTTTCCGTGCAGAACAAATCCAGTTCCCTCAACATCTTCTCATCTGTAATGTGCCACCTTAATGGCCCTCCACTGCACTTAGCTGCGGTTTCTCAATGTCTTTCTTCTACAAGAGGGCCCAAATTGTGTGGCATCACAATTGCCAAACAGAGAACTGCTAGCTTTTAATAAGCTTCAGAGTGATCTTAAAGGTTGTCTCCAACCTAGCTGATTCCATGATTCTAAAGGTGACATTTTCATTGCTTGGCTTGTGAAAGTAATAAGGTATCCAGAAAAGGGCTCAAAACTCCATGATAAGCCTGCTGCATAGTACTGATGTCGTTCTTATGGGAGAACTTCTTTTTTATGGTAAACACCTTTATTTCTCAAATCTTTCTGTAAAGGAAGTCAAGAATCACAGAGCAGACAATAGACTGTCTATGGTATCATTTATTATCTTATACAGCTAGTAGTATAAGACATAGCACTAGAAAGTATAACCACAATGAAACAAAGCTACTTTTCTTTGCTTGTACTTTTTTCCTTATTTACTCATTAATTTATTTGCTTGGATTTTCATATTTGTGATATCCTGCTAGTCTAAGTAATTATGCATCAGAGTATGTGAAAATTGGAGGCAGGCTGCATTTATCTCTCACTCCATAATGTTAGCTGAGAGAAATTAACCAGCTCTGCCAATTATTTGCCAAAAGATGCATTACTAATAATTATATTATTAGTAATTTACTAGTAATCAGTATTCAGTATGTGGCTGGTACTGCTGGTAACAGCACAAAAGAAGTTGTTTGCACTTCTTATGCAAGAGATGTACAATTTTATCAAATGTACTACAAGCTGATAGAATTCAATCCCATTTAAGAAGTGAAACATAAAAGTGAAGAGAGGTTTTACACCATGTGGGTTTTTTAGAATGGGTTAATTGGGAATTCTGAATTACCCTCAAAAAAAAAAAAAAGATTGCCTCTCTGGGGTTATACTCAAGTCTATCATCATCACGGCATGGAGTGAAAGTGCTGGGGGGAAGTATAGGAACTCCTGTGCATCTGTTCTGCTTCAGTTGGATAACCAGATCCCATGAAAAATGCCTTTTGGGGGCAAGATCAGACTGAACGGGGCTTTGAACAACCTGGTCTAGTGGAAGGCGTCCTTGCTCATGACAGGAGGGTTGGAACTAGGCGATCTCTCAGGTCCCTTCCATGCTAAGACTGCACGAAACCGGACCCCCCCCCCCCCCCCCCGCCCCCGGCCGACAGCCTGGTTCTGCCCGTGCCGAGAGCGGGGACAGTTCTTGGAGAGGGCAGGCGGTGGATACTGAGCTCCCAGACCCAGCACGACGAGCAGATGCCACGGGCAGCCGGGATTTCTCTTCCCATTGCTGCACTCTATACTTCTCTGCGCTCGGGAGGAGATGTGATTTCAGGTAACTGGAAAAAAAAACCACCTCCCGACTTTTAAAGTACTCTCCGCGATTCGTCTTCTCCTGCTACCTAGATCGAGACGTACACACATTTAACAATCAGGATCCAGCAAAGAGGCAACGCCAGCATACCCAGACTGCACGGACCCGGAATCGGCATCCTCCCCCGCGCCGCTCCTGCTCCCCTTCAGGAACCCCACAGCTGCAGAGGTCAGTGCATCTTTCCTCTTTCCAAAGCGCTCGGTCCCGTCATGAAGGGGAGGGGAAGGCGTTCTGCTTCTTGGGGAGCATCCCAAAGATACCGGCTCCCCCTGAGGAAGGGAGTCCCGCGGTCCGCCCCGGCCGCCGCGCTCAGCGCCCCTCCGCTCCTCCTCTGGAAACCTATGTGCGCCGCGCAGGGGTGGCTGCCGGGCCGGACCTTTGGGTTCCCAGGTGAGCGCTGTCACCTTGGGGTGGTCATTCTGGGGGAGTCCGAGGCTGGGTGCTGACACCGCATAGAGTCCATCGGTGTGGGAGGAGCTGGTAGGGGGCCATTTCCAAAGTGCTTCTGCTGCTGGCTGAGCGCTTGGTGACCTACTCTTGGTCCTGGCAGGGCAGTGGCAGGCAGCGGATGTGGAACCTTGGTGGCTGGATGCGACAGAGAGGACACGCTTGAGAAGAGCACGAGTCTCACATTTTTCCCCCCACTTCCAAGGCATTCCCAAGAGCAGTGGCCTGGCCACCTTCTCCTGTGGCCATGGAAAACTCCTTCCTCCTCAGGACCAATTCCTCATGTGCAGACTGCACTGAGACAGAGGATGGGGGTCTGAATATGTCCACTCCCACACCAAGACCCAGCTTCTACCTCACAGTGCCAATCATGTACTCAGCCATATGTGCTGTGGGGCTAATAGGCAACACCGCTGTCATCTATTTAATCCTCAAAGCCCCAAAGATGAAACAGTCACCAACATCTTCATCTTCAACCTGGCTGTTGCTGATGAGCTCTTTACTTTGGTGCTACCCATGAATATTTCTGACTACCTGCTCCTGCAGTGGCCGTTTGGAGAATTCATGTGCAAGCTCATCATCTCCATAGGCCAGTACAACACCTTCTCCAGCATCTACTTCCTCACTGTCATGAGCATTGACTGCTACCTGGTTGTGGTGGCCACCACCAAGTCCAGGAAGATGTCCTACCGCACCTACCGAGCAGCCAAGATTGTGAGCCTCTGCGTCTGGACCTTTGTCGCAGTCATCATCCTGCCCTTCACTGTCTTTGCTAAGATATACAAGGAGCAGGGGCGCTCCCAGTGTGTCTTCATGTTCCCACAGCCCGAGAGTGTGTGGTGGAAAAGCAGTCAGATCTACACCCTTATTTTAGGCTTTGCCATCCCAGTGTCCACCATATGCATCTTCTACACCACCATGCTGTGCAGACTGAGACGTGTGCACCCCCATTGCAATGCAAAAGCCCTGGACAAAGCAAAAAAAAAAGGTGACGCTGCTGGTGGCTTTCATCCTGCCTGTGTGCCTGTTCTGCTGGATGCCTTATCACCTTAGCACAGTGTCCCTCTCATAGTCATCTGCTCTTCTCAGGTGACTGCAGCACAGAGTGTGCTTTTTCTCCAGCCTCCTTCTGACAGCCCACAGGGCTTCAGACTGTCTCACTACAGAAGACACAAACTGGAGACTGGTGGATCCTTCCCTATTGTCCTGGACTCATTTCTTCAGCAGTGCTCTCCACCCCTTGCCATGCTTTTTTTTGTTGTTGTTGTTGGTTGGTTAGTTAGTTTGGGGTTTTTTAAATCCTTTCTCCCTAATGTGCTTTTTCTCCTATGTTTGCAGCTCACAGAACTGCAGCAGGTCCCTTTTCCCTCTTTTAATGGTACTGCTTTGTGAGCTAAAGCCACAAGACTGTCTTTTTTCAGTCTTTATTATTAATTTATGTGTTTATTATTTAACTTTATTATTTATAAAGCCCAGTAAAGGTGTGTTGTTGAGTGTCTTGCTTCATGATTCCTCAGCCTCTTCATATCCACAGGGCCTGTTTAACAAAAGCCTTGCAAACTTAGCAGCATTGAAAAAGGCACAGCTCCAAAGGATAAGGAATAAACCAAGTTATCATGCTTATTTAATTTTACAGGGGATTGAGATAAGGTAAATCTGTGATAAAAGGCAAGGGAGACCTCGGTTTGGCTTTAAGGAAGAAAAAGCAAACCCTTAGTAGTGTATAAAATACACAGATGTGGATGTGGAGTCACTTGTGAGAAATAGCTTAACAGAGTACTTGGTAGCTGTAGTTTGCAAAATTTGCAGCTGTTGTTTGCATCGGAAGGGGTGTTTACTTTTTCTATTTGCCGTATGTTTATGGGCAATCTCCTTCTGGCACATACAGATAATTTCTTTTTGGTCCAGAAAACAGAATTGGAAGGTGTTTTCAGAACACATTACTCTTTAACATTTTGAAAAGGACTTGCTGAGACATGGGGAATATTCCGACTTCTTCCCTACAAACCATAAATCAAATATGTGGTTACTTTTAACAGTCTCACACACTCGTACTCTACTTGCTGGTGAGATTTATGAATATTTCTCTTAAGGAGGACAAAGGAAGTAAAAAAAAACCCACCCAAAAGAGTAGGTTAATTTTAGCTGCAGGAGTGGGGAGAGGGGCAATGAGAATTTCACTAGCATTCACATGTCCAAATACTGCACGAGGAGGTGGTTTGGTTTTTTTCCCCTCTTCTCTCCTCTTTTAGCCCTCTAAACTGACAAAATGTGGAAGACTGGGAAAATATCTGCAGTCACTTGACATTTCTCATCTTAGTGGTCTTTCCTGTTATTCCCGATGCTAAATCAGTGTAACAAAAATTGGGTTATATATTTCCCCTTCCACTGAATATGGAGAGATGGAGAGATGTGGCCAAAGAATTCTGTTTCCACTTCCACTTAAACACTTACAGGGATGATGGGTTTCAAAAGGTACATAGTGATTAGTGTGTGGCACAGTCTCAGGTTTGCACGTGCCTCCTGAGAGCCCTTGCACCAGGTTCCTTTCCACTGCTGCAATCTAAAGTTTGAAGAAACAAAGTTTCTTTTGCTAAATCCTTCCAAAGAAACTCCAAATAAAACTTCTACTTGCAGATACTAGCAATTATGCAAACCCCAGTACATTATAGTGCCATATAGCTGTGTTGATGATTAAATCTTCTCTCTTTATAAGCCATTAGTGCTCTCTGAGACAGTGCTAATTTCAACACCCAGTCTAGCTGTCACAGAAGTGACATGGACTCTACTGGGGAGCAACAGTGTCTAATTCTGCTTCATTTGAGGGTGTGTGATTGACTCCTCTCAGACACAGACTCTGGCCTTTTAAAAAGCAAGCCCAAAAGGTGTTGAGAACCCATTTCCACACCACGTATAAAAGTGTGCTGCAAGAACACTGTCTCTCACTTCATCTTTCTGCCTGAAACAATAGGTAATTAAGCTTAGCCACCAGAGCTGCCTGCTGTTTCAGCTGATGGGTAAGCTTTCAATTGTAAATTGTAATGAGGCTTCTTCTTGGTCAGTCACTTGCTGTGGAGAAATATGTTACTCTGTGTGGTCCAAGTAGCAAAGCCTGTCTTCCTTTAAGATACTAATCTGTATGCACACACCACCTCTCTAGTATCCTTAAGCTATCATGCCCACAACAACTTTATTTGCATAAAGACTGCATACAGTTTTAAAAGTAAATCATTATTCTCAGAAAAGACATTTGAAGATCTCTGTGCTCTTGCTGGTTGTTGACCCTTCCCTGAAGACTGAAGAATGCCAGAGAAATATGGTTCTCTGTCAGCCACCCTAAGAAGGGGCACAATATTGCTCATGATAGTGACCACCTGAACGTTTTGTCTCATCACCTGTCAGGGTTCCTATTTACCCTAGAAATGTTACTGACGCTTGAGTAGCTCTACTGTGCTCCTGCAAAATGTAGCCTGTATCTGTATATGAAGTGTATCTCTGAGATGCTCAACTGATATTAGCAGTAGGTTACAAGAACCATCTGACTTGCATTTCATTTTTATCCAAATACCAAAACTCTAACTCTTCCTGAACAATATAACCTGGTTCAAGATTTAAACAAACAAGCAAAAAACTTTCTGATTGAGATCAGTGTGAAGAGATTTCTTCAAAATCTTCCTATCTTTTAGGGAACAGGGAAGTGTTTTAAAGTATGCCTTTCCTCATATTCAGTACCTCATCCCTTTGTCTTCCATACTGAATTCCTGTTGTCTGCAGGGGAATGTATGAGAACAGTTGCTGGTGTAAAGTAGGGATACTCAATGGATTATCACTTACACTGGTAACAGGCAGCCCACACATGGAAATTAAGAAAAGAAGATAACCAGTACAGTCAATAAAACTAATCAGGTACAACATCTAAAGTGAGCCAGCAGAACAACAGAGCCCACTTTAAACTATAAAAGGTTCAAAGTAGTAATAAAATTAATAGAGCATCACACACAGCAAAGCCTAGTGAAAAAAGGAAGGTAAGTGCAATGCAAATAAGTGATTGCACATATGTGATCAGCATTTGAAAACATCTAGCATCTGTAAGTTTCTTTGCATCCTTTTCATCCAGGTGGATAAGGTAAAGGGAGCCCTTGGTGAATCACTGTCACCCAGCCCTGCAGGTGCCAGGTGAGATGCAACAGGTCACTTCACATCCAGATGGTCTAGTCAGCAGCACCAGCTTGCCTTGCATCTGCAAGGTACTTGATATAGTCTTGAGACCCATAGGCTTGGTATTGTGTAGTCTTTCACTAGAACTGGTGTGCCTGCAAGAAAGCCTCATAAGCTAAGACAGGAGAGAAGTGTCACTTTTTCTGTATAAGTGAGTATTCAGCTCCCCTCCACCCCTCTCCCAACACCATTAAACAGAAACAGGCCTCCAGCTTGTTGTAGGCTGTCAGCACCAAATTTCCTTAACACCTTGGCTTCTGACACACATGCATTGCTTTTCATGAATATCTCCCTATAGTCCATATGTAGCAAGCTGTAGAGACCCAGAGAGTAATACTGTGTGATTGTCAAGTATGTTTACTTAGAAGACCTGAGTGCATGTGTCCCTGTGGCTGAGGCACATTCTGGGAGCTCTGGAGACTGAAAACCAGATATTTCTTCAGGCCCCTGAGTTCTCTATAAATTGTTACAAAGATCACTCTGCATATTTTCCCAGCAGCAGCACAATTTTCCCAGCCAAGCACCCCAAATCTCTAGTTTACCACTGACCCCTGCGCTCTTTTGGGCTCCCTCAGCAGACTGCTGTGACACCACAGGATGTAGGCAAGTTTCTCCCTCAGCTCAGGCAAGGCATTTTAATCCATATGTGCTTTTGCAGCACCTCTAGCCCTGAAAGCTGACATAATGGGCTAGGTACTTCATGCTATTTTTCATGTTCCAGATATGCTGCAGCACTGGACAGCCAAAATAGCCCACTCCTCTGTCGTATCTGCATCAGTTACCTATTAAGCTTTGCACCTCTATCAGCTGTATTTTACTGGCTTTCAAGCATCTCTACAATTATTTGTTCTACTGCATAAAGCTGCCCTGAAGTCATGAGCAGCACATCAACAAGAAGCAGGCAGATGTAAGGGGAGCACTCAGCATCAGAGAAAAATCTTATGATAACAGGCTAAAGTGATCCCTGTAATTGGGTCTAGGAAAAGAGATCCTGGGTTCTGTCTGTATTAACATAAAGCACAATAAGAATAGATCTGTTCTTATGACTGGTGGTAAGTGCCCAGAGTCAGTGCTGAGTGTGCTTCAGAAGTTTCCACACTGGACTAGCTGCAATCTGACTGCACAGATGCATCAGCAGTTGCAACACATTGCATGTTGCATGTGCTGCTTTAATTTCACCCAAAAAAGCACTTCAGCTAGCACATTTTTAGGCTGCTTTACAGAATGGACCAAATGGTAGTAAGGGGGAATGATCAGAATATTCACTTCAAAAACACTTTCCTGGCTGAGGTGCTGACATGCATATATCCCCATAGTATCACAAAATTTCACAATCCAGGTTCAAGAAGTTCCCACTCTTAGCAGTACTAGGAAAACCAGGATCTGCCCCCTAGTTCCTAGCTCTGAACAGCTGATAACAAACCGAGCACAAATGCTAAGAGCACGTATGCTGATTATAACATATAACTATGTAGTACTCAATAGGAAATGAAATGTCATGCAGTTATTTCCTGACTTGCTTACTGTTCAGGCTGCCTGTCACTAGTATAACAAGCTAAAGTCTTGAAAACACTCTCCATGCACACTACTATGACACAAGCAGATTTCTGGTCCCTGTAGTACATCTGGATGGCACCCTTCAGATATCTTTTGTTGGGCGTATCTGGCAAGGAAAAGTCCATCCCCAGAAATGAGCATTTTTTCATTAAACAATGTGAAATAGAATCGTAGAATCATAGAATAGATAGGGCTGGAAAGGACCTTAATCATCTAGTTCCAACCCCCCTGCCATGGGCAGGGATGCTTCATATCAATGTCACCCAAGGCTCTATCCAGCCTGGCCTTGAGCACAGC